TAATTAATCAGTGAATAAAACGGTCAACTGTTCAGTATTTTAACGCAACGGTAAGACTTCAAGGACAACAGTACGCGTTAGTTGATTCTGATTATATTTGTTCTCTATATTTGTTTTAACAGTTTACTAAAGGATAGCTGGGATTGCGGCAGACGTGCCCCCAACCGCGAGCAATGATAGGCACCTGTATTCGCAGGCTACTTTTTCTGTGAAGAATCAAGATATTTAAAATGATGATGCATTGCATTTTAAGCTCGCAAGATCTGTCTTGAAGATCGCATCGTTTGAATTCGCCAACCTTAAGTATTTTAACTCCACTTTCATGAATTCAAAAAATGCTAGGTTAGTTTTGAATGCAAAATGCGAAATAATCGTGTTCACGTCAGTGATTGTTTTGTGATAAACAAGACATAGTTCACCTTGTCGCTTATATTTATATGCTTACAAGTAATGAAGAGATATCTAAAATTGAAAAAACATACCTTTAAAAACGCCTCGTCTTTCCCGATGAACTCATCCATGGCACTTTCCAAAACATGTGTCGAATGCCCCGGGGTCGCCCCGGAGTATGCAAATGCCCAGTCCCCGGGCCGCGATAAAATTGCGGCTGCCCCACCCCCGGGACTGACACCGTGAGCAAATTCCCCGCGATTGCCCGTGGGGGGGATGGGCACTGTTGGAATTGACTGATGCATAACCTGTTGACGATAAGCTCTCAGTAATGGGAATGGCAACATGATGAAATATTTAAAGGTGGGTAGTCTTGGCGTAACCAACTCAAAGTCTAACTCGAATTTTATTTCTAACTCGACTGATGATTTTAATACGAACCTTTTGAATCCATCAGCCAAGTCAGTGGGAACGAAGCGGCAAGAAGAGCGATCGTAGCCCATGAAGTCAGCAAGAGAATGTTGAAATCTGTCCATTCGAAAGCGACTTTGCTTGGCTCTTGAATCGGTCCCCACGTATTCCATGCCACACTGTAAATAAACGCCTTTGCCGTGAATACGAACAAGACATATCATCTTCTCTTGTAAACCTTGAATTCTACTCTGGGTGTCGATATCGTTGATGTGCTAGTTGAAGAGCATTCAAACTCGTTTTCCAAAAAAGTGGTCTTTTCACTTAGTTTCTACATTCCCATTTAATAATCAGCCACAATGCATCTGATTATCTGTAGTTTGGTTACTGGTATACTGCTCTGGAATTGGTTGCGTCATACTCATTTGACTGCACAATCATCACGTAACACAATACACCCTCAAAAGTGTCACACAATATACCACGTCCAATTCTGTCACGTCAACAAACCTTTTATATGGTCCACGGCAAGAGAGAACAAACATTTACGACTTTTGGTCACATGAGGTGGAATCAGTCCCTAAACTTCCGTAATTTAAATCCAGGGTCAGCCTAACCTATTAATGGGCATCCTTGTCGTTCTCTGCATTTTGAAAATCATTAAGAACAGCGTGCAACAACAAGACATCACGTCTTTTATGAACACTCGACGCACTTGTGCGTTGATTAGTAATAAATGACATGAAGTCTCGTTCTTCTTACACATTCCTAGCTTTGGCATTGTTTTCAGTATAAAAATACTGAAAATAAGGCTTTAAAACATTTTTATTATTGTGAAAAGTTTTGTCTACTCACTATTAATATTTCCCTCAAAATGTTTAAAAGCCAGTCAGCCATTAGGTTTAAGATTGTACGTACTCATAAACTCTAAATCTTTTCTTTTTTTTTTTCTGTACATTGTAACTAAACAGACTTATTGGGTTAACCTAACCATAACTATAATGATTCTAATAAGGAAATAAATTCATTCACCAAAAAAAAAATCTTGTATGGTTTGCCTGCCTATGTTTTAATTAAAATATAAAATAGTTACTACTTAAAAATTTAATAACTTGTTTTGTCTTAGTTCTTACCATCTTAAAGCCCATTCAGTATGTGACCAGTTTCCATGATTGATAAATTAATTGACTGCTTTAAGTCCTTTAACGACTTTTAAGCATAATTAGTCAGATAACCAATTTTTAAATTAACTATTAACCAACTTGAATTTCCTGTAATTCAGCTCTATTTTCATGCTGTACAAATTGTAGAGGTATGCTTCAAAGACTCAAGCCAATTGTTTCTCTAATGGAATTCATGTATGTTTGGGCTGGCATGTGTATAGATCTCACTGTGCACACTTGAGTGCCTTACATAATTGATGGATATTTTTGAAGCTTTAAAACTTCCATAGTTCACTGTCAATTCCTAGTGATCTGAAGACATCTGCACTGTTACAATCTAT